CGGCCAGCAGCCGGCTGTCACACGCCAGTCCCCGCGCACCGGTGCTTGCTCCGCTGGCGCCCGGGCACCCCGTTCCGGGCCATCAGCAGCTCCTGAAGGAGCAGCCAGCGGAGAGCAGAATTCTGCCGCTTGCCACCATCCCATTACATTCTCAGCAGCAATTAGACATCCAGAGACCACTGGCTCATTTGGAAAAAAGTTTGTTTTCTGTTGGCAACACCCAGCATCTTGGTGCAAGGTGCTCGGTGCTGCACCCGAAGTCCAGGGTCGCTGCTGGCAGCACATGCACAGGCATAAACCCCCTGCTTTCGTCCAGGAAGAGCTTGTTGTTCCTGCAATCTGTTTCCCCCCCGAACATTACAAATTGGCAACACAGATATCTCGCTACCAGCACAAAATGTGCCTGCTGAAACATTTGTTCTGCCTCTCTCTGTGAATCCACTATCACGTCTTAATGTGACCTTTTAAAGCTCAGATTCTGTCTATTTTAAATCATGGGAACTGACATGTGTTGAAGATATTTTTAACAGACTGTTTACTGGAATTCTGGTTTCTGTTCTGCTATTTTTTTCCCTTTTCAACAGCTTTTCTACTCGTTATTTCAGGTCTCATACAGAGGCTTGCACCCAACACTTCCAGCACGCTTGCCCGCATGGCTTACGCGATAACGGACAAGAGCAGCCATAGGAAAGGGGAGAAGGAACTGAAAGTCAGAAAAAAATACTTGCAACCTGCAAACGAAGGATCCGAGTCCTCCAGGAAGAGCAGAAGGGAAGGGTGAACGGGTCGTATTTCCTTCATGGAGAGCGAGGCAGCGCTCACAGGTTGGAAGTGGCACCCGTGCAGCAGGCGTCAAGTTGTGCAGGGCAGGTGAGGAGAAGCATCCCCATGTCGTGCAGTGCCAAGCCGGTATAATTTACCCCTTCAGAGCTGTTCATAAAACAGGTGGATTTTCCTGGCAGGTCTCATGGCTTCTTTCCATGCGGCAGAGGCCACCGATTCTGGCAAATTTGCCAAAAACCTGATTTTGTATCCCTGAAATTACCATCAATAGGGTCCAGGCTTGTACATGAAGCAGCACGTGAAGAAGAAAAATAAATTGATATGTAAAAGTGATGTGAAAGTAATTGCTAGATGACACAAACTGACTTTAATTAAAATATATATATTTGCCATGCATAACAAAATGTCCTGGAGAACAAGAAAGGGGCATCTACCATAGGCTCCATTATATAGGACGCATGCTGCAGACCTGCCCAGGCTTAATGCAAGTTTTTCTACTCATCTTTTGACTGCCCACAAGTCACAACAACTACTCACCAAAATGCCTTCGTTTTTAACCTCCTTCCCTTTATTTCCAGGATTCTGCCTTTTTTTTCCAAGATTACCTAGCAAGAACGCTTTCGACTGCCCAGGCTGTACCTTGAGAGGAAATCACCATGCCTGCTCACCTGGTCCTAACCACATCAACATTGGCAATTTCAGTAAAAAGTAACATTTATGAAACTGTATTCACCATTTTGCAGACCAAGCACGAACAGGCCTAGAATACCCTCTTTTCTCCCCTTACTCAAGAGGAAAAAAAAAAAAGCCACATTTAATTGCACCACAAAGCAAACAGGAAGCCAGAGCAGTTTTAGGAGAGTTGAAACTATCTGCTCCATGCGGTTAACACTACCAAACAAGCAGACAACCGCGTTCTTGCACCAGCTATGCAGTTGGTCTGCAAATACAGCTGGTAACTTGCTCTCATTTAAAAGTCAAAAGAGCTTTTTTTGGCCACAAGATCTGAAATAGGATCGCAGCCACACGAGGTGTAGAGCAGCCATCCAGGCAGAGCTCTTCTATATAAGTACGACCACAGGATACATCCCTTGCTCTGAAAAGCCGACAACCAAGCTCAACGCCTTTCTGGTAGCACCTCACAGAAAAGGTCTCTCCGCTATAGTCTAATGCCTCACTACTGCAGGCTGTGTGTTCTTTGTGGGGATTTTGTTTTAATACATATGTATTTTTGGCCTCTAGGTTCTCCTGTGAGCTATGAATGTGCACTCTGAGTTGAAGGGAAGAGATCCAGTGCCTGCTGGGTGCATCCAGGCCTCCCAAGAGCTTCCCTGCAGCAGACATTGGGAGAAACTGCACCAAGTGCTGCAATTGCACCTTGCAGCCTCCAGCTGCCGAGTACATTCATGCTCACCTCCGAGGGTTCCTACATTGGGAGAAACTGCACCACGTGCGCGAATTGCACCTTGCAGCCTCCAGCTGCCGAGTACATGCCTGCTCACCTCCGAGGGTTCCTATTCTCCCTTTGAACACCCAGAAGGGAAGAGATGGGAAGAGGAACCAGCTGTACCCGAGAGCCCTTCCTCACTCCCCCGACCAGTGCTAGTGCTCTCAAGAGAGCGCTGATTAGTCTAAACCTGCTGCTGATCCAGATCCTCCCGAATCTGTAGGAGAAATTCAGATCTAAATTCACAGTTCAATTTCACGTCCCATGCGGTTGTTTGTTGATGGAACATCACACAACGCACACAGATTTCTCACAAGGCAGAAACATAGCCAAGGAAATGCTTGTTCCAGGGGTACCTCTAGCACTGGGCGAGTGGACAGTTTCCCAAGGGTGGCACAGCCGGCCGAGCAGACCCACCGCAGCAGGAGCCGCGGGCATGCCAGGGCAGTAGCTCTCCACTTGGGTCTCTTCTGAGAAAACAGAAACTAGTGAGAAAGGGCGACGAATGAAAGCAAGAGGAGAACTTCAGCACCACCCCCGCTTCTCCAAAGCAACGGCTGGAGCTGCGGCCCTCTCCGGAGGTCTCAATCACATCTCACCTTCCACTTCCCACAGGGCAAGCCCCCCAGAGCAGCACATGCTGCTAGGGATGGCCGAGGAGGGCACAGGCACCAGGCGTGGATGCTGGGGAGGGCAATCCCGAGCACAGCATCCTGCATCCACCTGCGCAAGGCTCTCGCCGCGCCAACGCGCGGGTGCCCTGGGCTGAGCACCTCTTGGTGCTGCTATCCTGCTCCATGCTGGAGCTGCACGTCCTCACCCAGCACTGAAACACCCGCTCGTTTTCTCCTCTTCACGTGCTCTCTACCAGCCATCCCATCAAGAGCAGAGCGCGCACAGCAGTTTTCACATTACTTGTTTTTCTTTAAAGAACAAGGTTACAATTTGCTTATATACATCATCACAAATAAGATTTTTCAGAGAAGAAAATCGTAACAAAATCTTGGTGTGTTTTTCTCTTCTTTCATTAAACATTAAAGCAACAAACCAACCAACCAAAAAAAAAAACTCCAC